TCGTCTGGGGTGTCCATCTCCTCAAGATCCCCTTCTATCGCTTGACGCTTCTTCTTTTGGTTGTCTTCGAGGGCCCGTGCGGGTCGTGCTCCTCCTCCTTTGTTGTAAGTAGGCTGTTACCCTTCCCTTGAGGTGGTTGTGTGTCTCCTACCATGCCCCCTCGTAGTCGTGGGTTAAGCCAAAAGGTTTGATCCCTTTGGATACAGGCATCTGGTGTGAAACGTCCTGTGCAGTCTGTGATGTAGCAAGAGGGCCATTTGCTTATGATGGGGTGATTTTCGAGGTCTCGATAAGTCGATCCCTCCGGTATGGATAGAGAACACCAGTTGTTGACGGGTCCTTTCACAATGATGTACATGGGAGTTGTTGTTTTGGCTTTGGTCCCGTAGTTTTCCAAGTGGGGTGTGTGGTACGTGTTTTTTTTGTTTGGCCCCTCTGCCTTATGTTGGGTGGTGCCGTCCAAATGTGTTGATGTTATCATGGCGTAAGTGTTGTGTCGTAGTCCTGTGGGTCGCGGGGTTATTCTAGTACAGGTGCCTCCCCTTGTTCGTGGTATAAAGTGGTAATGAGCCATGTCTTCCAGCACGTCTGTTTTCCTAAGGATCTTTCTGAACGAGCAAAAGTACCCATCCGTATCATCCTGTGCTCCGTTGAAAAGTTCTCGGAAGTCTTCCATAGCGGCGGGCGTTTTCATGACAGGTAGGTCTGGGTGGGATTGACCTGGTTTATATAACCAGACATCGTCTGGTGTCGTTTGTAGAGTATAGTGCTGGTGCTCCCGGTATTGAGATTCCTGATCCTGGTGTGGGGTCTTGTCGTGGTAGAATGACGGGGGTGAGTCGGTGTTGTTTGTCCTTGTGGGAGGCGTGCGTCGCAATGTCGTATGTCGCGTATGTGACCGGATCCTCCAAGATATTTCGCCAGCTGCCTTTGATGAGGCTCCCTTGTCTGGGCTTGTATGCGGAGGTTGGCGCTTCCTCCAGGGTGAGTCGGTGGAGCCTGTAGTGGATAGCAAGTTGGTGGGTAGGAGTATGGAAGGGTGTTTTTATTTAAGATGGCCGCCCCTTCAAAATAGGTAAAGAGGCATTCCGCTGGCCTTTGAACACAATGTTGTGCATATGGTCTTGTAAGTGTCTGCGCGCGTCCACGACGTAGTACATCTGGTCTGTTGGCGGTTCACGGCAAGGCATGGCAACATAGGCACGGCACGTATGGGAATGGTGAGTTCGTCAATTATGGCCTCTGGGAATGGTGCTACATGCAATTTTAAGAGTGCATTGCTCCCAGTGTTTACGGGTTTAGAAAACCTCTTGTACCCGTGCTGAGGCCGTGTCATATGGGACCCGAAGGCTAGTATGGTGGCCAGGCTCGAAGACCCAAATGGTTTCTTCTCCTAGGTCTAGGTCTTCCATAGTACCTTGTGCTGCTGCCAGGCTTGCCGTGGCGGGTGAGTCAGATCCTGCTTCATCTTGTGTGGAAGTTGCGTTTTCCTCTTTTGTGTTAGTGTTAGTCACCGTGACTCTTGCGCGTTTTTGGGGTGTTGTGGTGTCCGTGGGGGTTTGGTGCCTTTCGTCAGACGGTTTTATGTTGGCGGTCAAAGAAGGGTGTCCGGTCATCCTTGGTTCTGGGGTGTCGGTGTCGGGCGGTTTGGCATGTGCCGAGCTGCTTGGTGTTGCTGGGGTTCTCGACAACCTGCCGGGGCTAATGACAATAGGGGTGTCGTGCCTTTGCCGGTTGATGCTGGAGGCTGGAGGTTGGTCTGGGCCTGTTTTGTGAGGTCGATAGTGGGTTGGATTTTACCCTGGGCGTCTGCGGGATCCCTCCGATGTGTCGAATCTCGTCATCCCCGCTTCCTCCTTTACGTTATTCGTCCAGGGTAACACGTGCATAGGGACTTGTTCTGCGTGATTCTGCACAGTCTTGCCCTAACATTTCCTGGCCGTCAACGTATATTTGCGTTTCTGCCTCTAGTGGTGTGCGTGTGTGAAACGCAATTCTTGCCTTAAGCCAGTGAAATGGAGCGCGTGTTGGCCAGTTGATAGTGCGGGTGCAGGGTGGGTGATGTATTCGCAAGGGGAGTGTGGGTGTATTGTTTGCCCCTGGGACAGATGTCAAAGTTCTAATGTGGATTCGGTCGATCCGCAAAACGACGAGTGATTGGTCAAATTGGGTGGAAAGTGTGTTTGCGTCCGTGGCTGGCAATTTTGGTGAAGGGTGTGCAGATGTGCAGCTCTCCCTCAGCCTTGACATCCTGTGGAAAACCATAGTGGCAGGTACTGTATTGGGTTGTGGTGTTAGCTGTCGCTGTCGTTGGTCCAGCATAATGTTTGCTTGTGGGTATGTTGTGAGTTGTGGTAGTTGGGGAAGAGGTCCACTTTCGAACTTTCCTAAAAGGACGATAGGGAAGGTCAACTCCGCCAGAGGTGTGTTTCCTGGAAGTCGCACGTTCATGTGATAGAGAGCGAGTTGAGTGGGAATCACTTCCAGTTGTTCTGCCAAGTACTCTGCGGCCATGTTGAGATTGTCATAGCCATTAAAGGGGACATAGTAAAAGTCCAGGTCGTGCGAGCCTCGCATGAGGACAACTATGGGGCAGAATTGGCGGAGCACAGTGGCTGCATGTGATTGTGACTATGACATTCTTGGGAATGTGTAGAGGGGTCTGGCGTTGCGGTTGTTGTAGGGGGGAAGAATGCGCGACTTTGTGGCCTTCGTGGTCTGGAGTTTTCGTTTCTCTGCATCGGTATGTCGGTGTACAGCGATCCTGCCTCGGTGTGCTGGTAGAGCTGAGACATACGCGACAGTCGCGTTTCCTGGTATGGTAAAGGACCTCCAAGTGATAGGTGGTTTATTGCGTTAACAATGTTGTAACATCATTTCGATGTGTCTGGAAGACGTGGGGCAGGGTCTTGGTTGTAATACGATCAGTTCGACTGGTCGAATAAGATGCTCGAGGTCGGTGTTGTATGCCTGTGCCAAAGCTCGTTGGGGGGGGGGGGGTGGTTGCGGCACGGCCCTAGAGTTGGTCTCGGCTGTGAATCCGAGGTCCCAAAGTGTTTCGATGGAAGGGGCTTGATGTGCGGGAATGGAAAGCACCCCCCACCCCAGTGTGCTGCGATTAGTTCGACGGACATCTTCCCAATTTTCGACGAAGGTTGGACCGACTACAGCAAATGGGTAGTCGCGGAGGGGGAATTGTATTCTGATTCCTGTGTCCGCCCATATTGCTCGAAGGTGTATGAGCGAGATGTGTATTGGGTGAGGGTGTGGGAAATCTTGTACTCGGTGGTGTAGTGGTGATGCGTCGTCAGCTAGAAGGGCGTGGCCTGGGGGAATGTGTGCTAGGTTTTCTTCATCGTGTAGTTGCCTTCCCTGCCAAAAGAGTGAAATTCGTCTCACGCTTCTGTAGAGTCTTCTCGCGATCATCATTCGAATTTCACGTACGTTTTCCCTTGGTGGTAGGGTTCCTAGGTTTATCAAATGTCCCCTGGACGGCCCGTAGCAGATCCACAGTTCTTCCAAGTTCTCTCTTCGTGGGTAGAGGGGGAGACGTCGCGCCGTGTACACTAGGTCGTACCCCCCTTGCCCGTCCCACGGTTCATTTGAGGGTCTCGTGGTGACTTGGTACCCCCCTCTGCGTAGGAGGTCCTCAGCTTGTGTCCACGTTCCTGCCGCGCCGACGAGGAGTTGTGAACCCGTGAAGCCATGGACGGTGATGCATCTGTGGTGGGGGTTGTTACTTTCTACTGGGGGACGGTTGTGGACATCCAGTAGTAGAGTGTTTGATGGCGCGCCTCCCTGAAAAGGGAATTTATGTAGTTGGGGAATATCATTGTAGTGTTGGTCGTGTTTGTAGTTCGTGTCGTTGTAGCAGTGGTGTAGGGTTTAGGGTGTATAGGGTTTAGGGTGAAGTTGCGTTGGAGGTCTAGATCATAGAGGTATTCAAGGTGGCACTTGGCAGGCATGCTTAGACAGTGTTGAAAGGCAGGTGCCGGTTGTGATCATGTTTCTCCTGAGTACGGAAGCTACTGCGAACCTTGTAATTCCTTCCAGGACTATCGACTGAGGGATGGCAGCAAGCAACAAAAACAAAAGCACACTGGCCCGGAAAACCACCACAAGACCCCGCCTTCCCAACACTCTGAGCCCCCGGATTCCAGATCCTGAGCTGAACTTTCAAGGCACTCACTACACCTAGCTAACATTGACGTTCTGTGAACAGCGTATGATGGAACATGAAAGCAAACAGTTAGGCATTGTTGGAAGAGAGACTGCGAGAGGCAGAATGTCGGGGTATCGAGCCGATTTCTTTTGGGTCTATCTCTTTTTGTATTGAAGTTGTAATGGACAGATCCCCTGCCATCAAGACAAGGTTTTGCGCACAGAACCGGACTGTGGCTTAAGCCATCAAGCTTCCTTTAAACTTAAAACCCAAACCTTGACACCCAAAACTCAGAAACGATTCGGCAACAGCAACGCATTGTATTTATTCCTTTTGCTAGATTCAAATCCAGATATGGCTTTGCACAACACCAGTTATGTGTTGCACGCCGTGCGCGTTTGTCACTAAGTACCTTTTAGCTAAACCCCCCTTTAGATGTCCCCGACTGGAAAAGTGTCAACTTCCGTGGGCCGTTGACCCTCGACTCTCCTCTTGACATCCCGACGCGACAATGAGAAAACATGCAGTTTGCCTCCCAATGCCTGGGCCCAGGAAGACGGCAGCGGATCCTCGAACCTGCTGAAAGGCGAGAAGCCACAAGGCCTACTCGGCGCATAGATTGGGCTTAGTGCGAAAGCATTCCAGGTGTTAGTACTCCCTCCAGCCGGTCCATCCAACGCTTAGGGTTTATGGCTTGGGGTTGGGGCCCACCCATTCCCGACCCCAAGTGTCTCACGGACGATGATTCCTAATCCCGCGCAATTCAGCCGGTATGTTCATGACTTTCACTTGGTGCTTGCACCTTTTTGAGGTCCCAGCGACCAAACGGCCACGCCAGTCATACAGTTGCCATGCCTAGAGCTGTCCAAATTTCATCCTCCGGCGTTCCGAGCTCTCTGTGAGATGCAACTAGATTTGCCATCACGATTTCGGTATGCGGATGCTCTGGCCCGACGGTTGCTACAAAGATTCGCAAAGCCCTCTCAAGAAGTCGCTTCTGTTCTCGATGATCTCCAAGAGCTCCGCAGGCAGCGGCCAAATTGTTCAGTGTCCTGGCAACCTCTGCGTGCTCCGTGCCAAATTCCCGCTCTTCGATCACCAAGACTTTCTCGAGGAACCGCTTTTTGTCTCGATGATCTCCAAGATCTCCGCAAGCAGTGGCCAAATTGTACAGAGTCTTGGCAACTTCTGCGTGCTCCCTGCCAAACTCCCCCTCTTTGATCACCAAGGCTTTCTCCAGAAGCCGCTTTCTTTCTCGATGATCTCCAAGAGCTCCGCAAGCAATGGCCAAATTGTTCAGAGTCTTGGCAACTTCGGCGTGCTCCTTGCCAAACTCCCGCTCTTCGATCACCAAGGCCTTCTCCAGGAGC